GATGTCTATCGGCGTATGTGTATTTTGTACTGTATTTAGTAGTATATCAATGGATGTGGATTCTCTCATGTATTCCATCAGTATATCGGTGTATGTGTATTTTGTACTGTATTTAGTAGTATATCAATGGATGTGGAATCTCTCATGTATTCCATCAGTATATCGGTGAATGTGCAGTTTGTAATGTAACCTGGAACATGCATGGTGACTATAGGGTACGATCAAACAATGGTTGATGGACTCGGGGTAGCACAGTACGTTGTAGTGTCTTTATATGGAGGTAGATTATTAATATTGATGACATTTTGTTATCTCTCGTGTCATGGCCAATGGTGAACGTATACTGTTTACTACAGTCGGAATTGGCCATTTTGTACAAGCAGAAACCATTAATGATTTGATAATGGTTCCAGAGCACAACGAGTAGCCGTTATCATTGTTAATCCTATTGCACTCGAGGGAGAAGGACAAGTGGTTCAATGTATCGCAACATATGGTCTGATACAATGACATAACGTTCCAAGGGAATTGCAATCCACAACACATTAAACCTTGATGTCAAACATTATACTAATTACCCTGATGTAAGTGTAAGAGATACCCCGTGGCGCCCTGCCATTATCTGCTCACTACCCACCAGATCGGCTGCTGACTGCTCAACGGAAACAGGTAAGGAAGAGTGTACCATATACACTACCCATATTACTTACAGCAAGAATGAAATTCAGTGTAGCTTTCCTGATTCCAAACCAGGCATACACTTATATTTCGGAGTCAAGTTTTGGTGAAACCGTTGTGACGTTGTTTCAGTCGTTATGGAAGCGGCGGTAACTACGGTCATTGTTGTTAAAATGTTCCTAAATTGGATTCCTACAAAGCGACTTTGTATCAAACCCATTTATTCACTAAGTACAGACGAATCACCTTTGATGAAACTAAGAAATGAAATTACTAACATGTGTGAAATATTTATAGAATAATCCCCGAGGTACGAGTGATTACGGGAAATATGTCCCGAGTGAAATTAATGTTCACTGTGCCAAGCCTTGAGGGACTTAAACAATATTATCCCGAGGGACATATTTCCTGTAATCACTCGTACCTCGTTGGTTATTCTATTCATTACCATTTCTGTAATTAAACCGAGAAACCAGTATTTATAAATTCAAAGCCACATCTTCTTATGTAAGTGTTTACAACTAAATCAACTGATCTGTATTAGTGCTCAAAGTGTGTGGAATATGAACTTATTGCTACAAATCGTATGAGCGTTATTCAAACAGAGTTTAGGAGTCACAGATGAATGTTTTACGCCACATAAATAATCGATTCCAGATGAGTTACAGATTCAATGGCAATTGAGAATTCAACGAATGTGTACAATGACATAAAATAACCAACGAATGTGTACAATGACATAAAAATATTACACAACATATATAGCCACTGATTTCTCAGAACCATGGGTGATAATGATATAATTTCGTACTTTGAAGCTTACACAGATTCCCGAACGTTGTTTGGTTGAGAGAGCGGTCATGTGATCTACATTTCAAGGTTCATTTCTCTTGAACCCTTCAAATCGTTCATATGTTTGTAAACATCGTTCATACGCGTGAGAACGTTTTTGAGCCGATCTAGGCCACATGAACTTTTGCCGGAACTACTTTCCGGGTTTTCCCAGGATACTCTCTTCTCTCATATCAATTATGAGAAGTCTAGTCTTACATGGGAAAACCAAAAAGAGTATTTAGGTTTTGTGGTAGATTCTAGAAATGACCCTTCTCTCAGAGTAACACGAGCTAGAATTCGCGATGTTCAAAGGGACAAACAGCGGGCTTTGGCAAGACCACAGACAAGTGCCAGGATAGCAGGAAAATGTGTATTTCTCACTAGGGTAGTGTTTCCAGGTAAGCTACGGCTTAGGGGAGTTTACAGACTTTCATCTACTCGTTTATCTTGGGACAGTACATTAGAGTGGACTTATGATACAACTGAAGATCTTCAGTGGTGGTTAGATAGCTCAGTGGGATGGAACGGTATCAGTTGGATTCCTACTACAGTCGACGGCGAACTATTTACGGACGCCTCCCACAGTGGGTACGGTGCCTCACTACTAGCAGAGACCATATAATAGAAGCACAACAACTATGTAAACACCCCTTTTGCTCTGATTCCTCAAGTTCTAAATGTGTTGGTAGAACAGAAAGCTTGGGCTACCATGATCTCACCAGACTGGCCAGGGGCAGCATGGTTTACAAAGCTAAGTTGCATGGCAGTGAGTCCACCACTAACACTTCCAAAGACCAGATTATCAGTAGTGGGATCAAGAGAGGCAGAACCATTAAGGAACAAAAAGTGGAAACTCCTTTGTTGGAGGATATTTGGAGGAAGAATTTAACTGATTGGTCAAATGTTGCATTTTGTAGACTGTTTGGAAGTCTCGCTGTATCTACAAGGCATATGTATAATAGTATGTTGAGAGACTGTCAGAACGTTTGTGAAGAGAGAAAAGTTAGATTTCCGCCTATGGAGAGTAGTGTTATAGCAGACGTTTTATGCTTCAAAGCTGAGGGCTCTTCTAGACCTCAATCTGAGTTAAAGACAGCACTTGCAGCTTTATCTGCAGTCTATGAGGTTGGCTACACTGAGTCCCCAATAACTCCAACCATTAGGAGACTAGTAGATAGTGAAAACTGGAACTCTGAAACCAATGAGAAAATCCAAGGTTATGCCAGTAGAGGCATTTAGATCTTTATTTATGACATGGGCAGGTAATGACATGCTATCACTGAAAGACCCTCGTTTGAAGTGTATCACTCTCCTGGCCCTTGTATGCATGTTGAGGCCCACAGATATGGCACCAAATGCGGTGTCCCATGACCAGATAACCGGAGAAGCAAGGAAGCTTTTTTTTCATGTGATCAACTGATATTTGAGGACAACCAGTCAGTAAAAATCTCATTCTTTGGTATTAAGAACCATACAACTCGATCAGGATTTACGGTGACAGTACAACCTGCTTCGGTGGAGAAGATCTGTCCAGTCAGAACTCTAAAGGCTTATATTACCAGGACAGCAATGATGAGAAGCCAGACAGATGGAAATCCAGTTTTTCTGTCACTAACAAGGCCCTATGCTGCACTCAATGGGGGCGGAGTTGCAAAACTTCTCAAAGAGGTTATTTCTACAGCTGGCTTACCAGATTCTTTCAGTGCCAAAGATTTCCGACCGACAGGGGATACTATAGCGGCCAGTTGTGGTTTTCCGTCAGAGATGAGCTGTTCGATTGGCAGGTGGAAGACAGAGTCCATATACTTGAAACACTATGTCCACTGTAGAACGCCTGCTAATTATTCTGACAGCATCCAGCCATAAGCTCGCGCTACAGATCAACACAAAGTATTGTTATATGAACCTGTATAGCTATAAACCTTATAATGAAATGTATGAACCTCAAGTGACAGAAGTAACAGACAAAGCAGGAGTGATTATTTATAGTTTCGTATTTTTAGTTTCGTTTCATATTTTTAGTTTCGTATCACTAGGCTCATAACTGCTGTTGTCGTTTCTCATTAAAACATGGCCTAACATCAAATAATGCACAGTTACTATATTCCAGTAGTACTTCATGAAACCCGTTTCCGATAACAACTTTGACAGCCTGCAGCATATCAAACTTACATCCGACTGCACGGGAGCTCAGGTTCCATGTTGACAGCGACGATGGCCGTCGGGATTCTTATCAACGTGGGAATTGTTCATCGTTCGTCATTCTACAACACTGCTAGAATTATTACAATTTTCCGAAGGTTTTATCAATTTCAAATTATATTCTATGACCTTATACTTTTACATCCTGAATCCAGTTAACTTAAATCGTTGATAGAAGCTGCAGAATTATTCTCAACAGTATAAAGTTCCCAACCGGGCAACCTGGCGAGCGACTCTGGGAGATTATAAAATGTCAAAGAACAAATAAACTTTGGTTTTTTGTACTCTTTTAACTATTACATATGAAAGATTTGTGGATAGTCTTATGCGGAACACCAAATTCATTCTTAAAACACTTGTGGTTAATTAATACCGAGCGATTAAAAGTTGCCAAAAAGTCGCCTGCTTCACTCTCGCCCGCCAACGAAACCACAGACCGGTTACATAACTCTGTCGCCAGAGCACTGCAGTGACGTCATATGAGGAACGATTTTCAGTTAGTTGTATAGAAAGTGTGTAGCACGCTCATCATTTTGATGATTTCTCGACATCAACGACGACATGCCGAATCGTTGCTTTGTCGTCAATTGCTCCTAGGGGGTCGGGCGATGGTGTCGCCATGCACAGATTTCCACAGGACCCCGCAGTTCGTGCTAAATGGGTTATGCTTGTGAGAGCGAAGCGATCGTTGTGGAAGCCTGAAAAATCTTAGTTGTGTTCAGATCGCTTCACGGAAGTTAAAGAATCAAAACAACTCACTAGTTGAACATAGAGATTTTTCTGGGTTACATCTTCTTTTTATTCTCGAGTACAACGTTTCAGGGCTTGTTCTGGCCCCATCATCAGGTAAACTGAACAGTAACTGTTAACTCTGGCCGTGACGTCACAATGCTTATGACGTCACAATGCTATGACGACGCAATACATGTGGTGGTCAATAGATACAGATGACATGGCTAATAGAATACATGTTATTATGAATATATAAGATGTCATTTACTGCAAAATTAATGGATCAATTTAGAACTGTGCAGATATGTTATACTGTGGTGACATCTACATTGGTGAGACAGGCAGACCAGTAGCTACACGTGTGAAAGAACACAAAACTTCAGTGGACAAATCAGATCTGAAATCTGCAGTTTCTGAACACATTATGATTAATCCCGATCATGAAATTGACTGGGAAACTGAAGTCCTCTCAAAAAACATCAGTGACTGGCGTAAACGCAAGTTGATTGAGGCTATCTTCATCAAACGCAGAAAACCAGCAATAAACAGGGACCAGGGTGTCTACCTCCCAAATGCATGGTACATAAAACAATAAGACAATACCCTACCTCGTCACTGTTCCCATGTATAAAGCATAATTTCTATGTATACACTGCTATTACTTTACATTCTATACATTTATAAATACGTCTCTGTACATTTCTAATTCAATCAACTATTTTGTATAAGTATCTGCACAGTTCTAAATTGATCCATTAATTTTGCAGTAAATGACATCTTATATATTCATAATAACATGTATTCTATTAGCCATGTCATCTGTATCTATTGACAACCACATGTATTGCGTCGTAAGCATCAGCATTGTGACGTCAGTAACCTGATGATGGGACGTCAAACGTTGTACAGAATTAACAGTTACTGTTCTTCTAGTTTACTCACTAGATGATGGATGACCATAAAGATTTTCCAGAACAACTTGTAACCGATTTCTTCCTCGAAACGTTGTACTCGAGTAATAAAATATTGAAGATGACAACCTGCCAGAAAAATCTCTGTTATGTTCATCAAATATCATCTTCTAAAACTCGGCAATCAAATAGCATCCTCAACTCACTAGTTTTGAAAATAGTAAAATATGCATATCAAAACTACTTTCTACTCGATTGATTGAATCATAAAGGATTTTGCATGACACAACTTATAACATAACGATTTCTTCCACGGAAGCGAGGTGGGGGTCGAAGTCACAATACTGCGCGATACATTTCTTGCTACATTCACATGGTTAATGTCCACTCACCAGTATGTAGATACTTGTCAATGTAAGTCTTTACATTTGGGTCTTATAATCCTAATTAGTTTATTATCATACTTGTATGCATTTTGAAACTAAATAAAAAAGCAGACGATCTGTTGATACTTATAGTGAATTTATAACAGAACTGTAATATCTAGACATTTTATAGTTTGCCAATGTGAATCATAATTCCCACACACACTCTAGTGTATGTTGTCTGTCTCATTACACTTCAAGGCTAAAACAATGATTCTGTTGAATGCTACGACAAATGAATAAAAACAAAATGCAAATATTAAAATTAAAACAGATTAAAGTTATAGGAACAATGTCAGGCTATTACCTTGTTCGAGGAATGTATCCATCAATATCCACAAAAACGAGTGATATGCCATTCATCTGCAGCTGTTCCAAGTGATGTGTCTTTTAACAGTTTAATATAAGAAAAAGTTATAAATCTTTTCAGGTATTTCACATTGGTGTATAGTCTCATTGGTCACCCAAGATAGCACACCTGACAACTAATTGCATAATGTCCGCCTTTCTTTAAAAACAGTAATTTAGTTAGCCAATAATGGGCAATCAATCAATGTATTGCCGGTTAATCCTTTGAAAGAAGGACGTTGTTTTTACCGACACGACAGAGTGTATTCAGTATAGATTAGTAAATCTACATACATAAACACTACCTTTTGACAAATCCGCTGTGTAAGATAAAAGTAATTAATCAATCAGCGTGTTATCGGTTAATCCTTTAATCGATGTTTATAATGTTGAATATTTACTCCAGACACAAGAAATGCCAAATGGGAACCTTTGTCGGGTAATCTAAGTGGTGTTACCACTAATTATACCTGTTATAAATTCAATAACTGACCATCAAGTGAATGATGTGTAGGTTTATACCACCTAACACGGGTTACAACAAGGGAGTATTAATTGCTGTATTGCATGTGAAAACTTATGGGCCGACACTGTTTTGAGAATACAAACAGATTTTTACATGACATGATTAAATATCGAGGTAAAAAAACACAGAAATGGGATCAGTTTGGATCAGTCATTATACAAATAAGGCCCAACGACACCAAGCGATTTTGACAGAATCGTCTATGAAAACAAGTTGTAACTCGGAAACTAGGCAAAGCAGGAGACAAAATTAAATGACAGTAGATTGTGAGAACATATAGCTTTCATTTTCCACAACAGTTGTCACGATTTCAGGTTTATACAAACCTGTAAACAAGATAATTTACCCCCTGAAATGTAGATGAATTCTGCATCGGCCCTCATGTCTATTCCTGATATGACGTCACAGAGACGCCCCGCTCTGATTGGTTGAAATTTCGTTCGCGGGTGAGAATTGTGCACTGTTGTCAAAAAGGTCGATTTAAGTTAATTAAAGACCGAAGTAAGGAGTTTTAATAACGGGGTTTCATTTATAGCGATGCCAGTTAGTGATTTATGTATTTGTACCCCCCTAGAGTATACTAGTATGTGATCTTTAAGTCACTGCTCTTTGTGTCCCAACACACGGCGCTAATTGCTGCAGGGGTTTATCCTCACTGTGCAGGCAGCCTGCAGAGGATTAGGATTAGTGATTCATTGACCTTATGCGAAGAGAGCGAGGCACACTGAGACAACAATGCTTCAGATCCTACACGGTGCTAAGCAGGCCCCCGGTGCGGCAGAAAAATTCTACTCGGAAATGGTACGAAAACTCCAATGGAATTTGCCGATTGCATGTCACATTTAGTTGGACTTTAATGTAATTCAGTGCTATCATGAAAGGTTGTCCATGCAGTGCTATTCCCAATCCAGTGCTTATTTCTTCCATTGTTGACCTGTTACTCTGTTTAAAGTGTTTACTGTGTTAAAAGTAAAAGTTTGACTCAATTCTGTGCCACTGTTGAGTGTGTTACTGTGTTGAAGAATTAAAGTTTTATTTAACTTTGTATCACTATTGCCTGTATGTTCTTCTTCTGCCAGACAGAAAATACTGATACGGTCCCCCAGTAATCCCTTTGCTTGGTCGTTTAATACGCCTGAGTGCTTCATTAATTATGAACAATAGGTGCCTGCACAGTGAGGAGACCCCGATGCAGCGCCTTTGACGCTCTAGCCACGGCTGACCACACCAGAACGATTAACAAAGGAAATCAACCCGAACTGTAACATTTCTACCGCATTTATGATCGTCTGTTAATTAACTTTATCTTGGTTTGTTTTATCAAACTTGCGTAATGCGACCGACATTGCTTTTAACTCGTTTGTGAATAGTGTGAAAAATGAAATGCACAGTATACTGCCGACAAAAACCATACTCCTTGATTCCCATGCTAGAAACAAAAAGCGTCGCCGTGCTAAGGAATGGTGGACTCCACAACTGGAACTTTTATGGAACGACATGTGTGTTGCAGAAAGGCGATGGTGTGAGTGTAAGGGGATGGGTAGAGCGAATCTAAAACATGAGTATGTTCTAAAACGGGATCTGTTTGATAAAAAAGTTCAGAAAGCGAAGCGTGACTTCCAGACAGGCACCTTACGTGAGTTAGAGAGTTTGTGTGAAAGGGATACTTCAGAGTTTTGGAGGAAGATAGGTAAAGTGGGCGTGGGTTTTGAGAGGAAAAAGACTATCCCCATGGAAGTTAAGCTGTCTGGTGGCTCCGTAAGTTCAAATATAGACACTGTTTTAGGGACATGGAGAGATGCGTATGAGAATCTACTCAACACTAATTTTAGTTCTGACTGTACACGTGTGCCACGTGACACAAACAGTAACAGTAACAGAGAGCTCAATATACCTATATCGTTGGGGGAGGTCCAGCGGGCTTTATTGACAGCAAAGGGAGGTAAATCGCCGGGTATCGATGCTATTCCAGTCGAAGTGCTGAAAAACTCTAATTGTTTGTTATTTCTACATAGCCTTTTTAATGTATGCTTTATCGAGGGTGTTGTCCCTTCCATGTGGGGTAAAGGCGTTATCACGCCAATCCCAAAGACCTCCACAGATGACCCCAGGGACCCGCTCGCATACAGGGGTATAACGTTAGCCAGTGCCAGTTATAAGCTTTACTGTGGGGTACTGAACAACAGACTTAGTGAATACATGGAAAGCAATGGCCTTTTACATGATAATCAAAACGGGTTTAGAAAGGGCAGATCTACCATAGATCATATATATAGTGTTACATCTATTATAGAAACAAGAAAAAAGTATGAAAAATCCACGTTTGCTGCTTTTATAGATTTTAGAAAAGCATATGATTGTATTGATCGGAATATTTTATGGGGAAAACTCTCACAAAATGTTAGGGGTAGGATTTTTAATGCAATTATGTCAATCTATGATAACGTCAAATGTTGTATCCGTTTGAATGGTTTTAATACCCCATGGTTTGATGTTAATTGCGGTCTTAAACAAGAATGTTTACTTTCACCATTGTTATTCAATATGTATATTAATGATCTGTTGTTAGTTTTAGATAATATGAATATAGGTGTGAATGTTGATGGTTTAAGGGTAGGTGTTTTAGCATATGCTGATGATCTTGTTTTATTAGCGGAGAGTGAAACAGATCTTAATATTTTATTGGATTGTTTTAACACATGGTGTGATACGAACAAAATGTCTGTCAATGATAGTAAATCCAAAGTTATACATTTTAGGAATCAGTCCGTTGACAGAACCAGCTGTACATTTACTTGTGGAAATCTAAATCTTGAAGTTGTTGATTCTTATTGTTATTTGGGCCTGTTACTTAATGAACATCTAGATTATTCTAGAATGGCAAAGTCCGCGGCAAGTTCAGCCAGCAGAGCCCTAGGTTTGTTAATCTCCAAGTTTAAGCTCATTGGTGGTATGGAGTACCGAATTTTTACCAAACTTTATGATTCCATGGTGTGGTCTGTTTTAGATTATGGCGCATGTATATGGGGAACACAAAACATGTCATGTGTGAACGCTGTGCAAAACCGTGCAATGCGGTTCTATTTGGGTGTGAAAAAGTTTGCACCCAACGCAGCTGTGAGCGGTGACATGGGTTGGACTCCCCCTATCGTGCGCCAGTGGGGCAGTGTTGTCAGATTTTATAAACGTCTTTGTAACCTGGATCAATATCGACTAACGAGCAAAATCTTTCTTTGGGGTAACCACTCGGCTTTTAGAAGAAAAAGAAACCGTAATTTTAAAATTCATAAAAAGTTAGCCAATGTTGATCTTGAGCACTTTATTTCCCCCACTAATAGTTTTAACTCCAGGTTTATTGTACAAAGCGTTATACAGAAATTATTTGATACTTATAGACAGGAGTGGAAGGAATCGGTAGGGAATACCTGTGGTCCATCTGAACAGGGGGCAAATAAGCTACGTTTTTATGGTACTTTTAAGGATGTTTATACGCCGGAATTTTACGTAACTCATCCCATGCCCCGCCCATACAGAAGTGCATATGCTAAGTTCAGATGCGGCACTGCACCAAATAATATTGAGCTGGGTAGATATAACAATATTCCACTTAACGACAGAAAATGTTTTTATTGTAAACACTGTGTTGAAGACGAAGTTCATGTTTTAATTAATTGTCCGGTTTATAGTGATGAACGTTTTAGTCTTTTAAATACTTGTGATAGCCTATGTCAGAATTTTAGTAGTCTTACTGATATACAAAAAACTGCTTTTATCCTGTCCAATAGCAATATCTGTTTTAAAGCTGCCAAAACCTGCCATGTTATTTTAAGAAGGAGAAAAATCCGTCCTCGTGCTTTAACTATAATAGCTCAGGGCAAAAGTGTGTTTTATTACACTATACATGGTGGTAGAGCGAAGTGTATTTCTTTTCTAAGAAGCCAAATTTAATACTTTCTAAAGATAATTACGATTAATTTAGGCAGAAAACAAACGACGGTGTCGGTGACCTAAATTAAGAATCCTCGCACAGGGCTAACTGGCGCGCTGTTCTATTGATGTGTCTGCCCCTTAGTTAAGACGAACGTTACCAGAAAAAAACAAATGATAACAGTTTGATGACGGTTTACTTTCGGATTAAATATCTTCTCTGAATTATTTTAATTACATCTGTCATTAACGTAAACCATATGGGGCAATATGAACGTTGCATTTCTACTACCAGCGTAAGTTTAAATCAGTACATCCAGAGGAAGTTAAGTAGTCAAGCGACATTCCACAATTGCATTGTGGGAATGTAAACATTACGAACGTTACCGTGTCGCTGAAAACTTGTGAGTCGAAATGACACATTTTAACCGTCGTAAAACATAAACGTAATGTTTCCACCAGTGATGTTAGCTGCGTGAAGCAACAGCAAACCAAGAAACTGGATGCAACGGTGTAGTTTACTGTAGGAGGCCGTACGAGGCGATGACAACTGACATGCATCGTGACGTCGCTTACATTGTGACGTAATGTAAAATGGTTCGATTACGAGGGGGCACACTAGAATGGCGCAGTGACGGGATAACGTCATTCAATTGTTACGTCATCAAAAAACTATACCTTTATTGTCTGATAATGTATTTTTTTTCGATGGTTCTAACCGCTAGGCATCTTAGAAATAACTTTTAATTATTGTTATTCATAATACATATACATGCAATTTTTAAAGAATTTTAGTCTCTCATAATTCCGTATGGAATGGCCCTTATGTAAATATATGTTTAATTAGTTTGTATATATGTATAACAGGGGTGAGACTTGAATAAATAATCTGTCTGTCTGTCTGTCTGTTATACGGGTATATTTGTTTTTGAAGGTAAGACACAAGGTTGCCTTGTCATTTGGTTAAATTTGCTTTACAGCCTTCTAACTGTGCTGCTATACTTCAATTAAATCATCTTACTTTAATCTAAAATACTGTTCGAATTTACCATTCGGTCGCTTAATGTTAATTTTGTATGGCTAAAAATGTATGTTAAATAAGGTTACGAATAACCGAGAATCCAAGTAAAACACGTCATCAGTTTCATAGGCCTTCATTAGAGAACCAGTAAAATATATCTGTTAAAATTAGAAGTCCTTTTAGTAAAGGTTACAATCAGTACTTGTACAGCGTGTATGACGTTTACGTTATGAATTCAACATGTTTATATTATTTTTATCTATGCCTCGGTCTTGTCATATTGTTTGTAATTTCAATCGAATAGTTTGCATTAATATTATAATTTTTTGTCTGGAATTATTAATCTGAATTACCAGTTAATTGAATGTGTGTTCTTTTCCTTCATGTATATTTAATAAACTCCTGCTTTGCCTTTGTTTTTGAACGCGTGGCGATCCCGAAGCTCATTCCCCTAAACTAGCTATTATTATAATGGGTATTCAATATTCAATACTATTTATATAGTGCTATAGTCCACCCCATCTACATGCATGCTCAAAGCGCTGTGTTTTTCCCTCGATCATTAGATGTCAATTTCAACGGCACATATTTTTCGACCTCAACTCCCTGGGGATCATACAACTCGTGTAGCCACTAGGCGCACGAAGTTAATGTGGCTTTTCCCATCTTTACGAGGTACCCATTCACAGCTAGTTTTAGGCAGAAAACAGTCCCCACCATCAAGACTATTTCAATTCGATGGTGGATGCCTAATAGTGCGGGGAGCCATCATTGCACATCCAGTGGTCACTGACTTCAATTAGACAGTGGTTGAAGATACCTGTCCTCACATCCGGTCATTCCTTCAGATGCATGGATGCCGCATTACCTTTCAGCAGGACAATCTCTTATATTATCCATAAGGCTGCAGACTTGATTGGACAACACCCCCTCTTGATCTGTTCTTTTGCTTGATCTGTCGCCAATCGAAAATATGTGTGGTGAAATAGAACAGATGAGACAGGGCTTGGTCCTGGGCCCACTTGCACTAAGGGATCTTAGCGCTATGGCCATCTGGTATTGGATATGCGATCATCACAGTGCTAAGATCGCCATGTGGGCCCACATCTTGCACTAAGGGATCTTAGCGCTATGACCATCTGGTATTGGATATGCGATCATCACAGTGCTAAGATCGCCATGTGGGCCCACATCTTGCACTTAGGGATCTTAGCGCTATGACCATCTGGTATTGGATATGCGATCATCACAGTGCTAAGATCGCCATGTGGGCCCACATCTTGCACTTAGGGATCTTAGCGATATGACCATCTGGTATTGGATATGCGATCATCACAGTGCTAAGATCCCCATGTGGGCCCACATCTTGCACTAAGGGATCTTAGCGCTATGACCATCTGGTATTGGATATGCGATCATCACAGTGCTAAGATCGCCATGTGGGCCCACACCTTGCACTAAGGGATCTTAGCGCTATGACCATCTGGTATTGGATATGCGGTCATCACAGTGCTAAGATCGCCATGTGGGCCCACACCTTGCACTAAGGGATCTTAGCGCTATGACCATCTGGTATTGGATATGCGGTCATCAGTGCTAAGATCGCCATGTGGGCCCACATCTTGCACTAAGGGATCTTAGCGCTATGACCATCTGGTATTGGATATGCGATCATCACAGTGCTAAGATCCCCATGTGGGCCCACATATTGCACTAAGGGATCTTAGCGCTATGACCATCTGGTATTGGATATGCGATCATCACAGTGCTAAGATCCCCATGTGGGCCGAAATCTGGAATGACACCAAACAAGCCCTCCTATTGTGTAGTCGGAGAGGCACCTTTGTCAAGATTGTTTCACCCAATACTGACGTGTGAGCTGCAAATTGATTGCCTGATGTCAGAAACCATATACCGGTATATGGATAATAAGGGTAGGATAGGACATTTCAAAGTAAGGCTACCATGTCAATCATTCAATTACTCCACGTGGCATATTGCATACGAGTCTCGACAGCCAAGTTCAGCCAACGTGGTCACTGGTCTATGACTTTGACACACACATCTCCGTATCATGTCCCAGATGTGTTCATTTGAGAGAAAGTGTCGGGTCATCACTGGCTTCGGCCTTCTATGGGTTGTGATGCTGGAGGTGAACACTCAACATTGACGTGTCCTGCGGGCGGTGAGTACAGGCGTTGTCCTTAAAGACAAATCGTCGCCCTACGTACATGCCTTGCAAACGGGGCCAGAAATGGTGTCAGTATACTGCTTCGATAGATAGTACTGTCTTTAAACAATATAAAGTTGGGTTATATAATGCCATCCCACACAATCTGTTACAAGGTCTCAGGTTGACATTTGATTTGTGTTCATTACGACGTACAAGTCATGACCCTCCTTATCAAGGAGGTACAAACAGAAACGGGACTCATCTGAAACATGTCACAGTATAGATGTTGTGTTGAGGCAATATGACGGGTTGTAAGCACACACAATATAGACGTCCTCTAAAGAGCTGTATGTAGACGTGTTTAATGCTGTGACATCGTACTCCAGTACACAAAGTCCGCAGTCTAGACTACAAGTTGTCCGACTTCCATTTTTTGTGGAAGCCGCGGTGGCTGAGCGGTCTAGGCGTCTGACTTTGTGTGCTGGCGATTAGGTGCCTGACTCTGAGGGTGTGGGTTCGAATCCCGGATAGGACTCAACCCAAAAAGTACTAGAATCTGTACTTTATTAAGAAAGTGTAATCCCAAATATAACGTATGTTACATCATCCGTTAAGTCCACTGTTGCCTAACCTGGTCATGCGGGTGAAAATTTCATAGACTGTGAAGCGTCGTGTGTTCATATACAAACAGAAACCATGTTAATCAAAACTGTAACGATGATAAACGGCACAATCAGAGTTCAAGAATTAATACTCCATGGAGAATAATCGACCTGTTTCGAAAGTGTCAAAATCATTAATGGCACCCTGAATGTTAATGTGTGTGTGGTACCACCAAACTATGAAATGTGTTTTGTTGGTTCATGCACAAAATGTTTGTCGTCACCGTTTATCTTACCGTCACCGTTTATCTTACCGTCAACGTTTATCTTACCGTCAACGTTATAATTCTTGGTACTTGTTCTAATACAGTTTCCCGGTTCCTATATTTGGGAAGAGTATAATGGTTAGACATGTATGTACTGTCAACATGGCGCGTGTTTAAGTGCAGTATATCCCACTATACACATCAGCCCACGTGGGAAGAAGTAAATAGTGTTCCCAGCTCACAGCGTAATACCAGTGTTACCTGCGGAGGGCACCACAGCTTGTCACCTGGCATTAACGTACGCTTTGCCGATCGTGGAGGTGAAATAGAACAGGAAGTAGTTTCCCTGTGCTGACCCCGTTTATGGTGGTGAAGGATATATTAATAACGCCCTGTCGTCATTTGAGTGATGCCGTGGCGCTCTGTGACAACCTGCCCTATTATATGACAACATGAGACATCGCTTCGTGAATAATTTTCTGTCTTCCTATGTGTTTATACCTCGCTAATATGGCAGTCAACTCAAGTGGACAAATACATACATGGGATAAACACAAAGTAGATGATGTGCTGATGTCACAGATGTGCTCAGTTTAATACAATCTATAGTATAATTAGCAGCGGTCACGTTTGACCTTATGATCTGAGCACCGCCAGTCCCTGACAAGAGTCTTTGAGCGGTCATTACAACACCATTGTATTACATCACGTTAACAAACTGACTATATGTGTTTCAGATACAGAGATGAAGTGTGTCGTCATTTGGAGCTTACTCTCGCTCCTCAAGGTGAGTATTTACGCTACAGAACAGGTAACATGATTATCTGCCAGGAAAACACTAACATATCCCACAAACGAGAAGAATCAAGTTACACACGCATATGACAACACTTATCGCATAGTGAATACAATACCAATCTTATCAACCAGCCGATGAGTATGCTACTTAGGTCAACTAGCAGGAACTACATTTAGTAAACCCCGTAATTCTCCATACAATGTCGATCTGTGTAAGTTCAGCTAGGGATTTTCCGATGATTGGAGGTTTCTGTAAATTATGTTATCACACTGGCACCACAAAAAGATGTTAAGTTTGGATAAACAGGCCCTGCGTGTTGTCTTCGGAATGGCATACTGTCGTGTTTCCGTATCGGGGACAGTAAATAGGAGCAATATAACGAACGAAGTATGTTCGCCTAAAAACGGAAACATCCAATGGTGTGTCTTTCTCAAAATAGACTGCCTCCGTGGTGTAGTGGTTAGATCGTCCGCCCGGAGAGCGGAAGGTCGCGGGTTCGATCCTCGGCCGCGTCATACCAAAAGACGTTAAAATATGGTACTTGTTGGTCCCTGCCTGGCGCTCGGCATTAATGGGTACAACAAGGACTGGTCGGCTCGGAATCACTATAATGTGTCTGAGTGGGGTATTCCTGCTTCACCGCGGCATGGTATCTCAGTTGGCTAGCACTATTAAACCAGCTTCAGTCTGGGCTAGTACAAGCAGCCGCACATACACATACACATGCATGCACGTCGTCATATGAGCGAAATATTCTCAAGCACGACGTTAAACCCAATTTCACCTCACCTCACCTCTTTCTCAAAATAATACGAATTCCAAAGATATTCAACTAATTCTCTCCATTGTCCTCAATCTACGATATCACATGCCGATCACTTTTGGCATATAGATTTAATTTCTACAGTATGCAACTTTACTCAAACATCAGTTTTCAAATTCATCTTTTACGTCTGCACACTCATTTTGTCACTTCTGAAACCCAACATGAATGTTCGTATAGAATAATAGTTAATATTGTCAACTAAAGACTGTGTGTCATACATTACCATACAACATGTTGTTGAATGTACTTCAGATTCAAGGGGGCGAGCTGATCTCGCAAAATAAAACATCAAATACATTGGTCATCTCAGCAAATGGCACAACTGAAGCAGACACTATGTTTTCTTCTGAGGAACCTCATCATAACCACTCAAAGGGAAATAACTCCGACCATGAACCTCCCACCACTACAGCCGTGATCCCAGATAATTACATCGATCGTGTATATATTTACTGGCATTACCTAGGAGGAGTGATCTGTACTGCAATCTCCTTTGTAGGATTTGGGGGAAATATCGTAACAGTGATAGTTCTATCAAGTCCAGATATGAAAAGCTCTACAAGTATCTTCCTGATACTTCTGGCCATGTTTGACAGTTGCTTGCTGGTGTCAAATCTCATCTTCACTGGTTTAAAATGGCTTCTGTTTTACACAGTATATTATTCTTCATACCTCAACTACTTCATGATGCCTGCACTCCCTGTAATGTACGCCATATCCAGCATCGCCCATACAGGTTCCATCTACATCGTCGTTGCAGTCAACGTCGAACGCTACATCGCCGTTTGTCATCCTCTCAAGGCAGCATTGTTCTGCACCATCTCCCGAGCCAAGAAAACGTGCATGGTTGTCGTGGTGATATGCATCTTATACAATATTCCCCGCTATTTTGAAACATATCTCAAATGGGACTGGGTACCCGAGTTCAACCAAACCATGTTAGTAGTGGACAATTCTGACATGGCCTACGCCTATTGGTACCTGACAGTCTACCTGGTCTACATCAACGTCATCGTCAAATTTGTCATCCCTGGTGCCCTACTGGTCGTCCTAAACACG